AGGCCGAGAAGGCCGTCGACGAGGCCGCCGAGAGCGACTGCCCGGGCGCGGACGAGTCGCCGCCCTCGGGCGCGCCCAGCCCGAGGCCCCCCCTCCACCCCCCGTCGAGGGGGTTGCCAAAGGTGCCCCTCGGGGGTTGCCAAAGTCTAGGCCTCCTAGATGGGGTCGGAGTAGATGGGGTCGGAGGATTGCGCCTCTTCGCCGATGCATCACCGATGCATCGGCGATCCATCGGCGATACGGCTCGATGCGGGGTCAAATTTTCTCCACGCCCACGTCGCCGATGCATCGCCGACGTCGCCAGTGCATGGCCGATGCATCGCCGATGCATCGCCGATACATCGCCGACGCATCGGCGATGCGGCCAGATCGTCCGACCCATCTACTCGAACCCCATCTAGGAGGCCTCTACAAAGAAGGAGGAGAAGGACGAGGAGGAGGAGGATGCGGAGGAGGAGGAGGAGGAGGAGGGAAGGACAGAAACAACATTTCAGGCTCAACTGATATTTTGAAGGCAAGCCTGCTGGCCCCCAGTGAGAAGACGCCCTCCCAACAGCTGCGAAAGCAGAGATGGATGCCTTCCGTGACCTCGTCCCCTGGTCGTCCCAAATCGGGGTTTGCCGAAGGTATCCCTGGCCCAAGGTGCCCCGAGCTTTTCACTCCTTTTTGGAGCCCCTGGGCCCCCTGGGCCTCGTGAGGCGTGCTCTGGAGGCCGTGGGTGTCTCGTAGGAGATCCTGGGGGCCACTCCATTATCCACCGATCCCGTCACGACGACGACCACGACCACGACAACGATCAGAGGCAACGGTAGGGGGGGTTGCATAGGGGGGGCTGCATCGACCCCCAATCATACACTCATCGCCGACATGGGGCCCGATGGCCCACCCCTGCCCAGGAACACGCGGATTTACTATTGGGGGCCTATCGCCGGCTTATTGCGATGTATCGCCGATTCCAGGTCGATGTCCCCCCCTATGCCAGTCCCCATCTCACACGTCGACGAGGAGAGAGGAGGAGGAGAGAGAGAGAGAGAGAGAGAGAGAGAGGATGAGAGCGAATAATGAGGAGGAGGAGGTGGAGGAGGAGGAGGATGGGGGGAATGCTGTACTATTGAGGAGGAGATGGAGGAGGAGGAAGGGGGGAGGAGGAGGAGTAGGATGAGGATGAATAGTAGGACAAGCAGGGAAAGCTATAATATTGTGTAGCGATGAGAAGGAGGGAGGACGAGGATTGGTGATGAGGCTGATGATGAGGCTGATGATGGAGATGATGACGATGAGAACGATACCGATGGCGATGGCAATGATGAAGGTCAGTGACTATGATTATGATGATGCAGATGTGGAGGATGAGCAGTGGCAGGACAGGGAGGAATGAACGACGCGGAGTGGGAGGAGGAGGTTCAATGATATTGCAAACACGTGGAGGAAGAGGGAGGATGGGGCAGAAGGAGGGAAGGGAGACGTGGACGTTGATGGTTATGCTGCTGATGATGGTTGTAATGATGGCGATGGTGATGATGAGTGCTGCTGGTGATGTTGATGGCGATATTGACAGTGATAGTGATGATGATGACGCTAATGCTGATACTTCTGCTGATGCTGCTGATGATGGCGATTGATGATTGATGGCTGTGATGGTGCTGCTGCTGATGATGGTGACGATGACAATGACGGCGATGGTGATGATGCTGCTGTCGATGGTGATGATGCTGATGATTGCGATGACGATGATGAGGATGCTGATGCGGATGCTCATGATGATGGCACTGATGATGCTGCTGATGAGGATGATGATGATGATGATGATGATGGAGATGTAAGTGCAGATGAACATGCTGAGTTCGATGATGGTGTTGGCGATGACTATGATGATGACGCTGCTGCTAATGCTGATGATGAGGATGATGAGGATGATGAGGCTAATGGTGATGATGATGATTCTGATAATGCCGATGATGGTGGTGATGGGTTTGATGATGTTGTTGATGATGATGCTGATGTTTCTGATTGTGATTATCTTCATGATGACATGGTGATTCTGATGGTGCTCACGGTGATGATGATTCTGAGAATGAAGATGGTGATTGTGATGATGACGATGACGATGACGAAGACGATGATGACGATGATGACGATCATGATGATGATGATGATGATGATGATGATGATGATGATGATGATGATGATGAGCATGCTGATTTACATGATGATGCTGCTGATGATGCTGCTGATGATGCTGGTGCTGAGCATGATGCTGACAATGACAGTCATACTGATCATTACGATGCTGATGATGAAGCCAGTGATGATGTTGATGATGACGATGATGATTCTGATGCTGTTGATGCTGCTGCTGATGAGGATGCTAATCACGATGATTATGATGCTCACAACGATGATGATGGTGATGATGCTGCTGACGATGATGGTAATAATGATGATGGTAGTGATGATGGTAATGATGATGATGATGATGATGATGATGATGATGATGATGATGATGATGATGATGATGATGATGATGATGACGATGTTGATTATGATGATGATGATGCTGATGATGATGATGATGTTGATTAGGATGGTGATGATGCAGAGCATGATTATGCTGAGGGGGTCATCATTGTAGAAGGACTTCTGGCTCAATGCTGGCTGAGTCTATTGGTATGATCTTCGTGTGGCGGGGATCTCGTCGGGGATGCACGTATTTCTTGGGTCAGGGGGCGTAGAATACGCATCGGGCTGGTTCCAGTTTGTTGGCCGCGCGACGGACACATCCTGCCGCCCCTCTCAGCGTCGGGCGACTGATCGGGGGGATGCCGGCCCGTCGGTTTTGAACGAGCTGATCTGACGTTGCGGGATGCGAGACCGTTGGGTTTGAACCCCTGTGGAGGGCTGATCCACTCATCTGGCGGCAGACTGGTGTATGCCAGCCCGTCGGTTTTGAACCCCCTTGGAGGGCTCATCTGGCAGATTTGCGGGATGACAGCCCGTTGGTTTTCAACCTTGTTGGCAAGCCAACTGTCGGCCACGTGGCTGGGGCAAAGGGTAACAAATTGTCCCCTCCCCCTAGGGGGAGAATTTTGGGACCCCCCTTGCCTCCACAGAGCGCTCAGCAGCCAAGAGGAGAATCATCCGCTCAGGTCGAGGGAATGTGCGATACCGAATGTTGTCGCCAAGGCTCCGTTGTCGTCGCCATCTTCGTCGATAGCCGCAGCCGTTGGCTCGAGCCGTGCCGAAGCTTTCCCTGGGCCCACCCGCCCAGTTTCGTTGTCGTATCGGCTTGGGCATGCGGCGAGACGCGGCTGACGGGACTGAGAATCTGCCCCGCTGCGCCATCACCTAGCCATGCAGCGACGTGGTCTGGTGTTCTGCTGGCTGCTGGCGGGGGCATTGCAGTACGCAGCGTGATGCATCACGCTACGACCCCTTTTGAAACGACAGCCTGAAAGAGGCCTCGCTCATCATAGGCAAGAACGAGCGCGCCCGCGGCACACTTTTCACTGAAAGGTTGGCCCCAGTTTGAAGTTCCCCCCCTTGCCCTTGGAAGGGGGGGGGGGCTCCGAAGCTACGCCTCCCCTTCCTTCTGTCTGTGGGATTTTCGAAGCTCGAGGGGCCCTAGCCAAAGGGGGGCGGGCTTCACAGCTACCCCCCTCTTCTTTTCCGGAGCCCAAGGTCAGCCCGGGCTCTCTTTTCAAATGGGGGAGGGGGTGTCCCAAGCTACCCCTCCTCCTTCCACTTGTTCGGATGTTGTGCAGTCAACCCGCATAGTAAGGATGACCGAGTTTTCCAAGGTTGCCCTTGCATCCTTGCCCCTTAGGCCCATCCCTGGCAACTTTCGCTGGCCAGCCCCACTCGAGAAACGTCAACGTGGCGTTCCAAGGCCCTTGCATCCTTACCGCGCATTCCTATTATCCGGATTGACTGTAGCTGGTGGGTCCCTGGCTAAAGGGTGGGGGCTTGGAAGCTACCCCCTCCCCTCCCCTCGTTTTCGGGTCCCGGGGTAAGTCCGGGCTTTACTTTCCAAGGGGCGGAGGTTTCCGAAGCTACCCCCCCCTGCCTTCCTTCCTTTTATTTTTCCAGATGGAGGGCCCGGGCTGAAGGGAGGACTTCGACGCTACGTTTCTTCTTCTTCTTCTTCTTCTTTGGCTTTCGGCGCCCTGTTTCTTTGGCTTCTTTGGCTTTCGGCGGTGTTGTTTTCGGCGTCGCTTTGGTTTTCGGCGCCCCATTTGCTTTTGGCGCCCATTTGGTTTTCGGCGCCCCCGTGTTTTTCGGCGATCCTTTGGTGTTCGGTGCCCTTTCTTTCTTGTTTTCGGTGCACCCTTTGGTTCTCGGCGTATCGTTGGTTTTCGGCGCCTCTCGGCTTTCCGCGCCCTTTGCTTTTCGGCGCTCTTTTGGTTTTCGACGCTTCTTTGGTTTTCGGCTGCCTCCTGGTTGTCGGTCACCTTTTGGTTTTCGGCGCTCCTTTGGTTTTCGGCGCTCCTTTGGTTTTCGGCGCTCCTTTGGCTTTCGGTGCCCTTTTGGTTTTGGGCGCTCCTTCCGTTTTCGACGTGCCTCTGGTTATCGACGCCCTTTTGGTTTTCGACGCCCCTTTGATTTTCAGCGCCCCTGTGGTTTTCGGCGCCCCTTTGGTTTTTGGCGCCTTTTTTGTTTTCGGCGCCCTGTCCGTCTTCGGAGCTCCTCTTGTTTTCTGCGTCCCTTTGGTTTTCGGCGCCCCTTCGATTCTCGGCGCCCCTGCGGCTTTAAGCGTTCTTGTTGTTTTCGGTGCCCTGTTCATCTTCGGAGCTACTGTTTTTCTTTGCGGCGCCCTTTCGTTTTCGGCGTCCTTTTGATTATCGGCGCCTCTTTGGTTTTTCGGCGCCCTCTTGGTTTTCGGCGCATTGTTGGTGTTCGGCGCGCCTTTGGTGTTCGGTGCTCCTTTTGGTTTCCGGTGCCCATTGGGTGTAAGGCGCCCCTTTGGTTTTCGTCACCCTCTTGGTTTTCGGCCCCTTTTTGGTTTTTTCGGTGTCCTTCTGGTTTTCGCCGCCGTTTTGTTTCCGGCGCATATTTTGTGTTCGGCGTTTTTTTCATTTTCGTTGTCCTTCTGGTTTTCTGCGCCCCCTTGATTTTCGGCGCCCCTTTGGTTTTCGGCGCGCTCGCGGTTCTTCGGCGCTCCTTTGGTTTTCGGCGGCCTTGTGGTTTTCGGTGCCCTGTTGGTTTGCGGCGCTCCCTTGATTTTTGGCGCCGTTTTTGTTTTCGGCGTCCTTTTGGTTTTCGGCGCCTCTTTGGCTTTCCGCGCCCTTTTGGTCTCCGGCGCTCCTTCCTTGAGAGTCAAAGGGGGTGGGGAGCTTCCAAGGCCCCTCTACCTTGAGCCAAGAAGGGGCGGAGGTGGGGGGCTTCCGGCAGGGGAGGCAGGTTGAAAGTGGGAGGGGGTAGCTAAGCCCCCCCCCTTTTTGCAAAGGGGGGAAGGGGGGGGTAGCTTCGGGAGCGCGAAAGGGGGGAGGGGAGTAGCTTCCGAGGAGCGGACAGCAAAGAAAAGGGGGGGGGTCCCACAGGGAAAGTCCAAGGGGGGGGGTAGCTAAGCCCCCCCCCCTTGGAAAGGGAGGGGGGGGGGGTAGTTTCCGGAGCGCGAGTGGAGGAAGGGCAGAGGGGAGGGGGGGCAGCTTTCGAGGGGCTGGAAAAATGGAGGGGGGGGCCTCCCAGCAGGGGAGATCAAGGAGGGCGGCAGCTACGGGGGGGCCCCCTCTTTGGGAGTGCGTGCCACGGGCGCGTTCTCTCATAGGCAGGGTGCGGGTGTTCACCAGCTGCGGCCGCCTCCCCGGGGGCACGCGGAGGGGGGGAGGGAAGCGTCCCCGCGTAGGTCCCGCAGGGGGGCCTGCGCTCATCGGGATGGGCTTTCCTCGCTGCCAGAGCCCCAGGTGGGGTTGGCAGTGGGGCCCCAGTGTTCCACCACCCCAGTTCTGCACACACACACACACACGCACACACACACACACACACACGCACACACACACACACACGACACACAACACACAACACACAACACACAACACACAACACACAACACACAACACACAACACACAACACACAACACACACACACACACACACCACACACCTGGTGCCCACACGCCGTCACTCCATTCCTGCGCCTCCTGTCCCGGCGCCGTCCCCTGGCCACCGCAGACTCTCCGCCTCGTCTCTATCTTGGCCTCCTGTGCCGGCCGCACGGGATGAGGCCAATGGTAGGCATGGTCAGATCCAGCCCCCGCGAATAACATGCTATACTGATACTGATGATGCTGATGAAGATGAAGATGAAGATGAAGATGAAGATGAATGATGATGATGATGATGATGATGATGATGATGATGATGATGATGATGATGATGATGATGATGATGATGATGATGATGATGATGATGATGATGATGATGATGATGATGATGATGATGATGATGATGATGATGATGATGATGATGATGATGATGATGATGAGGAGGAGGAGGATGAGGATGAGGATGATGATGATGGCGATTATGATGATGCTGCTGATGATGTTGATGATGATGATGCTGATGCTGATGCTGATGCGAATGTTGATGCTGATGATGCTGATGCTGATGCTGATGCTGATGCTGATAATGATGCTGCTGATGATGATGCTGATCATGATGCTAATGCTGATGCCGATGCCGATGCTGATGCTGATGCTGATGCTGATGCTGATGCTGCTGAGTAGGAGAAGGGTACACGAGGAGGATATGCGAGGAGGAGGAGGAGGAGGAGGAGGGCGAGGAGGAGGATGTATGAGAAGGATCTATAGGAAGCCCCCGCCAGTGGGGGGGGGCGCGAGGAAGGCCTGAAATGGCGCTGCCCCGGTTGCTCCTCTCCCCGCCTTCCTTCCTCATGGCCCCGTGCCCTACATTTCCCTCGAGTTTCCTCGCCTCGCCTCCCTTGCCCTTTCTCCCTCGCCTTCTCTCCGCCCCCCGTCCCGTCCCAAAGTCCCCACAAAGCCGTCCTCCCTCCCTCTCTTCCTCCTCCGCCTCGTCAATCATCCCCCCTCTCCTTCCTCTTCCTCATCCTCCTCTCCCGTTCCTCCTCCTTCCTCCTCATCCTCCTTTCCTCTCCTCCTCCTCTCCTCCTCCCCTCCTCCTCCTCCTCGTCATCCTCATCTCCGTCGGGCGGCCCCCATCCGACTCTGCCTCCGCCTCCGCCTCCGCCTCCGCCTCCGCCTCCGCCTCCTCCTCCCCTCTCTCCTTACTCCCTCCTCCTCCTGTGGCTGTCGCTGCTGACGCAGGGTTTGACTTCAGCGCTGCCACTCCTCCTTCTCCTCCTCCTCCTCCTCCTCCTCCTCCTCCTCCTCCTCCTCCTCTTTTCTCGCCTTCCTCCTCATCCCCCCCATCCCCTCCCCTTCCTTCCCTCCCCTGCCGCATGCATCTTCTGCTTGTGCGTGAGGACGCTGAGGCACGAGGCGCCGTGGGCGGCGACGCGGCCAGGGCCCCCTTCGCGGCCCGAGGCCTGTGGCCTTGCGGCCTCCCCTCTTGACCCGAGCCCGATCCCCTGCTCGGGCTCCCGCCCTTGCAGGGGGCGCAGCGGTGTCCCCCCCCCCCCCTCCAGTTCTCCCCAAGCGGGTGTCGTCGGAGCCCCCTGCTCCCGACCCCTAGGCGCCGTGCGCGCGATTGGCTGGCGGAGGGGAGGCATCTGGCCACTGGTGCAAGGCACTACGGCCATCTCGTTTACGGCTTTCTGAGGCGGGTGACCTGAGGTTACTGCCGTGGTCCCTTCCTTTCTGGTAAGAGTCCGGGCTCTGTTTTCGGATCGCTGCCTACTCTGTGGCTCGCGCGCTCGCTCTCCCCCTCCTTTCCCCTGGGGGGGGGGGGAGTGAGGTGGGGGGAGGAGGGGGAGGGAAGGGGCTTCCGAGGGAGGGAATGGGCCCATCCTTCTTCCACCCTTCTCCCTCCTCTTGTCACCTCTCCCCCACTCACTCCTCCTCCTGCCTCCTTCCTTCTTCCATCCTCCTCCTCCTCCCCTCCTCCTCCGCCTCCCTCCACTCCTCTCCTCCTCCTCCTCCTCCTCCTGCTCCTCCTCTCATCCTCCCTCCTCCTCCCCTCCTCCTCCTCCTCATCTCCTCTCCTCCTCCTCCTCCTCCTCCTCCTCCTCCTCCTCCTCCCACCCCTCTTCCCCCCTCCTGCCCCTTGCCTCCCCGACCCCCTCCACCCGTGTGGGAGGCATGGCACCACGCCGCAGCGCCGCAGCAGGCTCGCGCCGCCGGAGGCGCCGCAGCGGCACGCCAGGCGCGCCCGCCGCGTCGCCGCGGGGGGTCAGCCCGGCCGATCGAGACGATGACTGGGCTAGTCGAGGACGATTTTGGCATCGCTCCGACGTGTGGCGGGGGCCATCGAGGAGCCTGGTCATCCTGCGAAGGCATGCACGCACGAAGCCCGCAACTGCACGGGGAGTGGACGTCCGAATTCTGGCGAGAGAAGGGATAGCACAAGCATGGACTTTCGGAGGTTCGGGCGGGTCAGCCCAGCCGATCGAGACGATGACCGAGAGAGACGAGTAAGAATCGACTACACGGAAGAGTAACCCTTCGCCGGAGTGACCTTTGGTGCGGGCCCAATGGGGTAGAAGGAGGAGTTGGAGGAGGAGGATAGGATAGGATAGGATAGGATAGGATAGGATAGGATAGGATAGGATAGGATAGGATAGGATAGGATAGCCAATTGACGGTGGGAAAATTAAAAAACCCACATTGCCTGGGCATGTGCAATGTGTTGGGAGTGACCTAGTGCACCTTGGTCGCTCCAAACCTCGAACGGCCTAGGAGGAGAGTGGGACTCAGAGGTGCACGTACACGCCCTGCGCCTCCGGGACCGAACCCCCCTCGAGAGGAGGGGCCCCCCCTGCCACCCGGCCAGGCACTCCAGGCTCTGGCCGGGGACACAGGACACGCTTCGTCACCAGGCGGGGCACCTGGTGCGAGTCTCGGGGCGGGTGCCCTGGCCTGCTCCCCCCAGTCCCCTTGCCCAAGGGGGACAGCAGGACCCCCCATGAGCCTGGCCGAAGCTAGACCCCCCCTCCACACCCTGGCGCAGCCGGGGAGTCGCCGGGCCAAAACAGCGGAGAGGACCCGAGCCGGCCGTCGCCGAAACGGGTTTACTGTTTAGGCCCGAAGACCGGGGTCGGTGCCCCCACTGCCGAAGCCCCCACTCACCCTCGGCAGTGGCGCCGCCCCCATACAGGCCACGACTAAGCGGGTTTCAGTTCCCCCAGACGCCTGGAGGTGCCGCCCACACCGAACGGCTGCCCGCCCGGGGGCTGGAGGAGGAGGAGAAGGAGGAGGAGGAGGAGGATTTTGAGGAGGAGGAGGAGGAGGAGGCGGAGGAGGAGGAGGGGGAGAGAGAAGGGAGGCAAGCTGGGTGCGCGCGCGCCACATCTGCGCTTCCTTACCCCTCCCACCCACGCCTTACCTTTGCGCTGGTTGATCGTCTCCTTTTGTGTGCCGACGCGTATCACAGCGAATGTGGATTCGTAGCAAGAATCCCATCGTGATATGCGTGATCGGAAAGGGGGGCTGCGCACATTGGAGGATGAGACGTCGGGCGAGCAAGGGAAGAAGAAAAGGGAGGAAGGAGGAGGACCAGGACGCACAGCCGCAGCGGCGGCAGGAACCAGGACCGAAGGGGCGGGAGGAACAGGACGACCATGGGAAGGCGGAGGACAGGAAGGAAGGGGCGACGACGACGAGGGCAGGCCTGGGCCCAGAACGTAGGGACCCGCGCGGGGGCGACGGCGCCGTTCTCGACGGGGGGGGGCAGAGGACGCGTGGATACCACAGCGCGGCCCACCTTGCAGCGGGAACGCCACGCTGGGAGTGCGCTTGGCGTCGCTCGGACGCGTGCATTCTTCCTTCGGCGAGGACCCTCGAGGAGCATCCTGGATCATTTGGCGAAAAAGCCACGCACGAAACCGAACAAAAAGACAGGGAATGGACGTCCGAGCGATGGCGAGTGCGGGAGCGGCCCGACCGAAGCAAAACACGATGGCATAGACCACATGCGGGAGAAAGGCTGCCGCCCCGCTCGGACAGGACCTGGGGAGAGAGGAGCGTTGCACCCACATCGTGAGTCGTCGTGGAGCAGCACTGGAGATACCCAAAGGTGCCGATACCGCTACCCCCCGGACCTCTCCCAGGGTGTGTTCTGACCAGCATGTCGAGGCGAATCCAGCGGTGGCGACGAGGGCCTCCCAGGAGGCCCAAGAAGGGGGAAAACGGGCGAGGGGGTAGAGGTATGGGTACCTGTGCCTCCTCGGAAGCCCAGAGGTGACGGAACGGGAGGGAGAGCGCGGGGGGCGCGTTCGCAGGTGCGTGGTCCTCCTGATAGAAATGGAGCTGATGGGGCTGTCGCCGGACGCCCGCTGCGTCGCGGCCACGGAGGAAGCTCTCTCTCTCTCTCTCTCTCGCGGGGCGGGCTGCGCGCGGATGGGTGCCGCGGGCGGCTCGTCACCCCGCATGCGTGCATGCTTGACTGATGTACACAGCAACTTCATGACAGTGCACATCTGGGGAATGTACTTCCTTCCTTCTTTGTCCTTCCTCCTCCCTCCTAGTATGCTCCCCCCTGCCTCTCTACCTCGCCTTCCTCCTATGCTCAGCCCTTCCCTGCCCTACCTCCGGCTCCTCTTCTCCTCCACCTCCTCGTCGCCCTGCATCTCCCGAGTTCCCCGAACCGATTTTTCTCGTCGGCGGCGAGGCAGAGGCGATCCGCACCGGCGTCGGGCTGGCCGGGGGCACCTATAGGCAGACGGTCCGGCGTGCAAGAGATGGGGAGGAGGAGGAGGAGGAGGAGGAGGAGGAGGAGGAGGAGGAGGAGGAGGAGGAGGAGGAGGAGGAGGAGGAGGAGGAGGAGGAGGAGGAGGAGGAGAAGGAGGCGGCCGCGCAGAGGGAGGAGGCGAGGGGCGCTCGGCAGCGGAAGACTTCCACGGCGAGCGGGCCGGGGCGGCAGTCGAAGAGAAAGGACAGCCCCAGGGGGCCGTCCCGAGGCACCCTGTACACGTCCGCCTTGGCATATCCTCCAGCTGGGCCCCAACATGAGTGCTTGAGGGAACGGGGTCGCCATACCCTTGGAGGGCCCCAGCTAAGCGCCTGCACCGATCCCGGGCCCAGGGTGGGCCTGGCCAGGATCGGTGCAGGTGTACAGTTGGCATCCTCCTGTGCTCTTGTAACTACAGGCTTCCACAGGGGTCCGAGCAGATGGGGTCGGAGGATCGCGCCGTATAGTCGATGCATCGGAGTTGCGGCTGGATGTGCAGGCCGATTTTCTCCGCGTTGGCGTCGCCGTTGATCCGCAGACGTAGCCGATGTCTCGGCGATGCATCGGCGATGCGGTTTGATCCTCCGATCCAGTCTTTACTCTGACCCCGTTTACTGGGACCCCACCGGTTGAGAAGCGGCTGACTCACACGCCCGGACAGGCACGAGGTCCCAATGTGCGCGTTGGTTCCTGTTTGAGCACCACCGTTGCGCCCCATGCGCAAATCGCACCGATCGTGTCAGGCAGAAGGACCGCTTCTTCTTGCAGGGTGCTGCTAGAAGTGCCCCTAGCCCAAGGTGCCCCCAGGATTTCCGAGGAGGCCCACACGGCCTCCAGAGCACCGCTCACGAGTCCCAGGGGCCCCGAGGGGCTCCAAAGTGGAGCGGAAAGTTGGGGGCACCTCGGGCCAGCGGCACCTTCTCGCAACCCCCGTTCTTGTCTGTGGGGGCCCACGCTGTGAGTGCGTCGTGGGTTCGCTGTGCGATTCGGGTGGCCTCCGGCTCTATCTCAAGGGAGGGAAAGCCACCCCGACCTCCATGTGCGGCGTTTACTAGACGGCCCTGGGCGCGCATGAAGCAGCCATGCCCTGCGCGATCCCTGCGTTCATTCCACGCCTTGGCCTGTCGGGGTGCTGCTTCTGACGGTGTTCTTTTGCTTGCCCTTTGCATGCCGACTCTTTTGTGAAACTGCGATCACTTTTTAAGCATCAGAGTCATAACTGGTGGGGAAGTCTCAGGCGAAACGCCCGGCCCGCCGCGAAAACTGGCCCCGAGGAGGAAGAGGAGGAGGAGGAGGAGGAGGAGGAGGAGGAGGAGGAGGAGGAGGAGGAGGAGGAGGAGGAGGAGGAGGAGGAGGAGGAGGAGGAGGAGGGAGGAGGAGGAGGAGGAGGAGGAGGAGGAGGAGGAGGAGGAGGGGGAGGGGGAGGAGGAGGAGGCGAGAGCACTCTTTGCTCTGCTTCGCTCCCTCGCGGGGCGGGGCCGCGCTGCCGAGATGGGGTCTGCCCCCCCCGCGGAGGCCTGCCCCGAGCCCGCGCCTCGGGGCCCGCGGGGGGCGGGCGGGGGGGCCCTGCCCCTGGCGACGACGCCCGGGGCCCGAAGCCGTGGCCCCCGCGGAGGGAGTCAGTCGAGGAGCGCCCGAGGAGCGAGCGGGGAGCGGTCGCGCGAGGAGCGCTCGAGGAGGCCTCTCGAGGCGCGGCCCCCCCTCGGCCTCCGGGCGGAGAGTGATTGGCGGCCCGAGGGCGCGAGAGTCTTAAGTCGGGCCTGTCCCCCTACAGGTGGATTTTCGGCGATGTTTTTTTTACATAAAAAACCACCCCGACCCCCATGACTGGCGTTTCGTCAAGGGCCCATGGGCGTTTGCGAGACAGCCCTGCCCTGGTCGATCACCTCCCAGGGTGCCTTGTGCGCAACGGCGTCGCTCCTCAGGGTGCCGATTGCGAGGGCGAGGGTTCTGCTCCAGTCAGGGCGCCAGGACCGCTGCGCATCGCCAGTGCGTCGCCGACGTGGACAGTGCATCGACGATGCATCGCCGATGCATCGGCGATGCGGCGCGATCCTTCGACCCCATCTAGTTACTCGGACCCCATGGGAGGCCTCGTGGAGCGCAGTCGCGGAGGGGGAGAGACTCGGGGATCGCGCTCTTCCTCCTCCTCCTCCTCCTCCTCCTCCTCCTCCTCCTCCTCCTTTACTCTCACACAATCTGAATACTACTCTCCCCTCTCCCCTGGTGACGTCTGGGAAATATTCTCCCCCCTCAGCGTATCGGTTTTTTACACAGGCTTCCCGGGAAACGGGTTTACGTTTTTAGGTTTTCCAAAATTCTGCTTTCGCTGAAGCGCTGGCCTCATGTTCGGGCTACCGCTCGTTTCGAGTCGTGCTCCCGCTGCAGCGCTGCCCTCACTTCTGCGCTTGCGCTCGTTCCGAATCGTGCTCCCGCTGCAGCGTTGGCGTCATTATTTCCAGCGCCATGCCACGGCATGGTCTTCGGTCCTTCCAAATGTGCCCCAAAATCTAGAAAATGCCCCCCCTGAAACAACCATCGGAAGTGATTACACATTCGGTGCCGATTCGTTGATTTTGGGGGTCGCAGAAGCCCCCCCACTTTCGGGCGTCGCCACGCCATGCTATGTCAGACTACGCGTCCTCCGAATCGTGTTCCCGCTGCAGCGATGGCCTCATTTCCGCGCTTCCGCTTGCTTCGAATCGTGCTCCCGCTGCAGCGTTGGCGTCATTATTTCCAGCTCGATGCCACGGCATTGTTCTCGGTACTTCCAAGTACGCCTCAAAATGTAGAAATGCCAGAAAAACCATCGGACGTGATTACACATTCGGTGCCGATTTGTTGATTTCTGGGGTCGCAGAAGCCCCCGCCAACTTTCGGGCGTCGCCACGCCATGCTATGTCAGAATCGTGTTCCCGCTGCAGCGATGGCCTCGTTTCCGCGCTTCCGCTCGCTCCGAATCGTGCTCCCGCTGCAGCGTTGGCGTCATTATTTCCAGCACCATGCCACGGCATGGTTTCCGGTCCTTCTAACCAGGCACAACAATTTAGAAATGCCCCCCCGAAACAACCATCGGAAGTGATTACACATTCGGTGTCGATTCGTTGATTTTCTGGGCTGCAGAAGTCCTCCCCCCACCCTGGGGCGTCGCCACGCCATGCTAAGTCAGGCTACGCGTTGATCTTCAACACCATGCTATGCCATGTAATGCTTTGCCCTGATACGATATTCGACCGTGCGAATCGAGAGGAGATCTACGCCACGGTATGGGATGGGAGGGGGGGATAGGACGTCAGCTATGACGCGAATGCACCTAGCTTGCCACTTCCCCCTTGCCCTCCTCCTCCTCCTCTTCCTCCTCCTCCGCCCTCCTCCCCCTTCTCCTCTCTCCTCCTCCTCCTCCTCCCCCTCATCCTTCTCCTCCGCCTCCTCCTCCATTCCTCTTCCTTCTGCATAACTTGCCCCTGCCACACAACCGAGGCCTGTCGAAAGGGCGGGCCGGGCGTTTCGCTGGAGACTTCCTCACCATTTGCCACCCCAGTGCTTCAAAGTTGCAGCTATACAGATGGAGGGCAGTTCCTTCTCAAACTGTGGCCCTCGCCTCAGCGCCGCGCACATCCCTTCTCAACCTTAACCAGAGCTTCAAGCACGGAGGGCGGGTGGTTTCCAAAGTGCAGCTCTCGCCCTTTCGCCGCGCGCACTCGTCTTAAACAAATGCAGAGGCTTTACGGATTGAGGGTGGGCGGTTTGCAGCATGTTCAACATCTGCAAGAGTTTCATGGGTCGAAAGCGGGCTTCTTCAAAACATGGCTCTCACCTTGGCGCCGCGCACATTCGTTTCAACACTTTGCAAACGCTTCACGGATTGAGGGCAGCTCCTTTTCAAAATGTGGCTATCGCCTTAGCGCCGCGCGCACTCGTTCTAAGCAGTTGCAAGAGTTTCACGGGTTCCCATGGCCAACGTGCCACAAATTGTGATTCGGAAGGACTCGGGATTGTAAGGGCGCAACAGTTACGTTGATTCGCTGTGTTGAATTCCCACGAATATTGTCTGGTTCTCCTTTGAGGCGGCGGGTGCGCTTGGAGTCCTCTGCCTTTGTGTCGACGATGTCCTTTGGGCTGCATAGGACCCGATCTCCAACTGTCACTTCCTTCTCACGCCGAGGTGGTGCCGTGATCCTGTGGAGCACACCTGGCGTCGTAAAGGTGTTAGCGAGCCACGTGCTGTACTCGCGGCTGCTCTGGCGTAGGTCACGTCGTAGCTCGCCGTGCTTCTCGTCGCTCGCTTGCATGGCCGTGCTTTGCAGGACGTCGAGCGGGAGTTGGTCCAAGTGAGTGAGTCGATGTCGCCATAGGTCACGCTGTAGTCGCGCCGTGTAATTGGCACCCTCGCCCAGAGGTGGTAGACCTTCTCGAACAAGTCTGCGCCCCACTGCATGTAGCTCATGTTGCTGTTGGTGGCCTCGTCCTCGCTGTCTTAGGGTTAATAAGGTGGACAGTACTTTCTTAACACGGCTCCACCAGTCTGCTCTGTGTGATGCATATCGAGTCCGTCCTGCACCGTGTTCACGAAGTGGGGTAGTTTTGAAATCATAGCCATTGCACCTGCCGACGTAGTGGGTGCGGTCCTCCAACGGTATTTTGTACACAATGCAGGAGAAGGTCTCCAACTCGACGTCTGCTGCTGCTGTGGGGGTGGCTGCCAGGCGGTCCGCAAACGGTTGCTGTTGCTCTACCTTTCGGGCGTAGCTCCAATCCGTCTGGTCGTCCTGTGCTGAATTCTGTGGGGTGTCGTCGCTGTGGTCTGCCGTCGTCCTTTGAACGTCGGGGCCTGCAGCGACTGAGGCGTGGTGTAGGAGGTCGGAGCTCTGCTGCGTGTGGTTGGACATGCTTGGGTCGTTGTAGCCGTCGCAGGGCGTGGCGCACTCCTGGATGTGCAAGTTGTGGTCGGCGTTGTGCTGAGTGCCGGGTCCGAGGCCGCAGTCGTCGATGTCGGCGCGAGGGTCGGCTTCCTGCTCGAGGAGGAGGAGGAGGAGGAGGAGGAGGAGGAGGAGGAGGAGGAGGAGGAGGAGGAGGAGGAGGAGGAGGAGGAGGAGGAGGTAGGAGGAGGAGGAGGAGGGAGGAGGAGGAGGAGGAGGAGGAGGAGGAGGAGGAGGAGGAGGAGGAGGAGGAGGAGGAGGAGGAGGAGGAGGAGGAGGAGGAGGAGGAGGAGGAGGAGGAGGAGGAGGATTCCTCTCCACCTTCCTCCTCCTCCCCTCCGCCTCCCCTCCCCGCGGTGGAGGAGCGGGGCCCCGAGGATTCGGGTCCCATGCCCCGTGGCCTTTCCTCCAGGGCGGGCTCTGCACCTCCGGTCTGCTTCTCGACGGTCCCCCGGGCACGTGCGGGGGTCCCGGGGGGCATCGGAAAGACGAAGCGCTCGCACGCCTGCAGCAGGTCATGTTCGACCACGCGTGAGAGCGTCCTTTCGCCGAAGTGGCCCCATGGTGCGGGCCCACTGGGGCCCCCCGGATCCTTGAATACCACTCGGGCGGGCGGAGATGGAGCGCGGCGGGTGGGGAAGAGGGCCCGAGAAGGGCCCGGTACAGCCCCGAGAGGAGCCGGCAGGGGCCCCAAGAGAGGCCTTCAAGAACCCTTTCGGGTTTTCTCTTCGCCCTCCATCCAGGTCACCCCCATCGCCGCTCGCCCGAGGGCCCCCCCCCCGATCGCTGAGAGCGGTGCATGTCGCGCAGCAGCCTGCGCGCTTCGGTGCCTGGCCCCCCCTCGCGCCCCCAGAGGCCGCGCACGAGAGGTCCCTCTCGCCCGGGGCCCACTCTCGCTGCGTGGGTGGCGGCATCCGAAGCTGCCCCCCAGCAGCCATCGATTCTTCTGCTTCGGTGGGAGGCGGGGGTAATTAGGGCTCGGACTGCGCCGCGTGTTCGGCGAACTCCGAGCCCCATCCCCGCCGCCCATCGAGTTGCCTGGACCGTGGACGGGCTTGGCACCGCTCGGACGTGTGCATTTTTTTTTTCGGCGAGGACCATCGGGGAGCATCCTTGATCATTTGGCGAAAAAACCACGCACGAAACCGAAAAAAAACACAGGGAATGGACGTCCGAGCGATGGCGAGCGGGCGAGGCTCAGGGTTCGGATTTCGCCGCCGACCTGCGTGCAGCAGAGCATGTGTGCCGTGGCCGGCGGCCGCTGCCGCGCGGGCCCCCGTCGCTCTCGCAGGAGCGCCTCACGCTGCGCGCCTGGCTGCAGAGGCAGGACCGCACCTTCTCGGACGCCGCCGACGTGTTCGGCTCGCTGATCCTCAGCGTGAGGCCCTGTCATCCACGCGCGCAAAAGGGGGGGTAAGGGGGAGGAGGGGAAGTGTCTTAGAAGCACCCCTGCTTCTTAGAAGGCGCGGGCCTTGTCTGCGGATGTAGGGGCGGCGCCTTCTGAGAAGCAGCCTCCTTTCTTAGAACGTTCCCCCCTCCCCCTGCCCCCTTTTGCGCGCCGCCAACCTTGGGAAGGGGGGCGAATGTGAGGCAGGCAAGGGAAATGGGGAGGACGAGGAGGGACTTCGATGCTGCATGCTGCTCGGTGTGTGCAAGTCCTGGGTTTCCTCTCGGGGCGCCCGAAAAAATAACACAAACCTGAGCACTCGGAGGTCCGCGCGGATTTCTCAGATCGGCGCTGCCTGGCGCGCGGAGCGCGCCAGGGGCGGCGCCGCTGGCGCCGCCAGGGGGCCCAAGCGCCGATCCGAGAAATCCGCGCGGACCTCCGAGTTGTTGTTCATGTTGGTGTCATTTTTCGCTCCCCAGTCGAAGGACGAGGTGGGCGCAGGAGCCGATTCTGAGGACGAGGTCGGGGAAGGGGAGCACGTCGTGGACGCAAGCACGCAGCCGCAGCCGCGGCATCGCGTGCCGCCGTGCTCGCGGGCCGCGAGACCCCCGGGGCCCGTGGGGCGTGTTTTGCCCGCGGCCGCCCCGCGCGGCAGCGCATCCGTGCGACGGCGTGGCCTGCGGGCTCGCGCCTCTGGAATCCCGACCGCGAGAGCGCGGATGCTGATAATAACAGAGGCTCGCCGCTCGTCGGGGAAGACGAAGAGGGCGCGGATACCGATGCCGTCCGCCGCGCGTGCGGATGGGGTACGGGGAGGACAGGGAGGGGGTGGCATCTGTTGCAGCTTCTGCCCTGCCCTGCCCGCCCTCCTCCGCGGCCGCCCTCCGCCCGCCCCTCCGGCCTCCCTGCCGGTTCCTCGTGGGAGGCCTTTCTGCTGGGTCCCCGGGTGCGCATCGCTTCGACCGCGCCGCTCGCGCCGCTAGCCGAGTCTCGACGGCTCGCGAGGCGGCAAGGAACAATTGTGGCGAGCGCGCGGGCGCGTCCTCTTTCTTCCCCCCGTCGTCGTCATCGCCGTCGTCGTCGTCGTCGTCGTCGTCGCCATCGTCGTCGTCGTCGTCGTCGTCATCGCCGTCGTCGTCGTCGTCGTCGACGTCATCATCATTGTATATCAAAGTATTATGGTATGTATTCGTATATGTATACACACACATACGTAAGGGAGCTCGGCAGCCTTCACAGGCGAGTCGAGGCCCATCTACACCAAAGGGTGTCTGGCCAAAAGGCCATTCTATCCCCCAAACCATGGTGAGGACCACCCTGGGCCCCGGAAGGGCTTTGGTTTCTCGGGCCGGTCCTTTGCTTCAGGCCCGGTGGGCCGTTTGTGGCCGAGGCCCGCCGATGTCAGAAAGGTCATTTCGTTTTCTGTTCAGCGTTTCTTTGGGTCAAGAACTTTCTCTTCAAACGTTCAGGGACCGCCCGAAAGGTCGCCCCCCCCCGTCACAACGGGCACTCCGCAGTACACACACAGCATGGGCGGGCCCTGTCGTGGAACCGTCGCGGATGACCGCCCCCATGACCTCGTCGGCGGCCATGGTGCTCGTTTTACACCCTGGGCGTCCGTGGAACCACGTTTCCTGCGTCGCCGTCCCGCCCCACACATCCGCCTTTCTGCGCCGTGGTTGGGCACGAAATTCTGCTTGGCCTCCAGGGCATCCCATGTAAACTGTACACGCGAATCGGGAAGCCGTACAGAATCGCTTTGGGGAATCTGCAAGCAATATAGAATTGCGACATCGGAGTAAAGCGACAACATAGAACAACGGGTTCGGAATAGGGAAACTACACAGGCGTCGTCGTATTTGGGCTACCCTCGGACGGGCCGACAACTGCAGGATTGCATGTAGTGAAGCACCAGAGCAGGACGTCAGAAATCTGAGCCCCCCCCTCTTCCTCCGCCTCCTCCTCCTCCTCCTCCCCCTCCTCCTCCTCCTCCGCCTCCTCTTTCTCCTCCTCCTCCTCCTCCTCCTCCTCCTCCTCCTCCTCCTCCTCCTCCTCCTCCTCCTCCTCCTCCCCCTCCTCCTCCCCCTCCTCTCTGATGGCCCCTGCGGCTCGGCAGTGCCCCAGGAGCCATGAGCTGCGGCGGGCCGCGATGCTCCCGGCCCCTGCCCTCCTGCTCCCGTCGGGGAGCGGCTGGCCCCGCTGCTGGCCCGGCGCGGGGTGGAACGCCTCTGCGGAGCGGTGGCAGGACGACCGCGCCGAGCGGGACTTCTGCTGCGCCCTCCCGCCAGCCACCGCGGCGGCATGGACGGCGGACCACGCGCGCTGCTTCCCCGAGGGGAGGCAGCGCAAGGTCAACCTGTGCTGCGGGGCGGGGCAGGGCTACGTCTTCGACGGCCCCGACTGCTGGCCGGCCGAGTTCTCCCCGCTGCAGCGCGAGGGCGGGAAGTCCTGCTGCCGCTGGGCCAAGGCTCCGCGGAAGGCGCCTCGCACGCCACCAAGCCTGGCCGCAGCGCCATCCTGGGCCATGGCGTCGTGTGTACCGCCCGTTTGCCGAGGGCCAGGAGGGCCGTCACACCGTCCCAGGGCCCAGGATGGCCCCGGCCAGGCGTGGGGGCGGCGTGCAGGTGCCTCGTGCCTCAAGGCGGGCGGGCGCGACGCGACCGGCGCCCCACCAGGTTGCTTCGACGACTTCCGCACCCCCTCCCTCTGCTGCCGGCAGACCATGTCGGTCGGCCCCTCGGAGGACTCGCGGTGCCCGTGGCGGCGCACGGAGCGTTGGGCGGACCGGGTGCTGAGCGAGCCCTCGAGGGCGGCCCCGTTCGTCCTGCTGCGGGACCAGAAGGTCGGAGGGCAGACCCTCATGCTGTGGCTGCAGGCGGCGCTGCTCCGCTTGGGGAAGATAAGCGCCTCCCAGGTGTGGCCCCCCATCCACGGCGTGCCCTTCTTCCTCAAGAAGTACGCGGACGACCGCGGATCGCTGGAGGTCGTTTCGGGCATCTACGACTGGCGCGTGCTGGTGGACGGCATCCACTGCGAGCAGCGGGACAAGGTGCACGGGCTGCTGCTGCTCCGGCACCCAGTCGATCGGTTCTTGTCCTTCTACCGAGAGCGAAGCAACCGGGCGTGGGAGCGCCGCCTGGGGCGCGAGATGCGGCACTGGACGGTGGCAGAGCTGAGGGCGTATCTGCGTTCCGCGAGCCAGCGCGAGTTCGACGGGAACGAGCCGGGGGTCTTCTGCGACGATTTCCTGGGCGGATGCCTTACCGCCTCCACCGCCATGCGCCCGCTGCGGGCGGCCAGGCGCAACTGGAGCTGGAGGAGGGAGTCGAAGTACTTCCGGGCCTGTGGCGGCCCCTTCGACTCCCTCACCTGGCTGCTCGACCCCGAGCACGGCGAGGTCGAGACGGCCATCGCGCGCATGCGGCGCCTGGTGGTGGGGCTGCTGGTGGAGAGGTTCGACGAGTGGCGCGAGGTCGCGGCGTTCTTCTTCCCCTGGCTCCACGAGCCGCGGTCTGGGGACGGCCCGCTGGCCGTCCAGAGCACGCACGAGGGCCCCCGCCAGGCGCGGGTGCGGCGCCGCTACGAGCTCGCGCCCGCCCTCCGCGAGGAGCTCGCGCGCTGGAACGCGAGGGACATGGCCGTGTACGCGGCGGGCACCGCCCAGCCACCGTGCCTGCTCAGCCGCCCACTGGGGGGCCGGGTGGGCCCATCCGTCCCAGCGTCGTGACCCCTCTTAGGCCCCTTGGGGAGCGCGCAATGGGGGGGCAGGGGGGGCGATCTACGGGGGGGCAGCAAGGGCTGCAGAGAAGGGCCCAGAGGGGGCCCCCTATAAACTATAGGGCCCAGAAGGGGCCCTCCATAGGGTCCCAGAAGTGCACCCTTCTTCCCCCTGGGTATCGCCCGCCCAATTCATTCGCGCCCTAGCTCCCCAGACCCTGATACTCTGGCGCCCCACTTCTTTTCACGGCGGCCGATGCTGCCTTAGGTTGTCTCGGGCCACAGTACCCTCACGGACCGGTCCGGCCCGGAAAGTGCCAGAGAAAGATTCAGGAGGGGGAAGAACACACAGACATAATTTCATCGTCGATCCCCAGGAAAATGCAAGGAAAATTTGGGATGTGGGGGGGAAGACAAAAACCCATAGCATATGGGGAAATATGGGGAATCCTGGTACCTCTGTGTATTTACTTGTGTGTCCCAGGGCCCCTTCAACAAAGATGGGGCGCAGGGCCTGGACGAGCTCTTACACGGTGTGTTGCAGTGCTTGCCCGCGGCGTCGGATCTCCAGGGAGCCCGGCTCGCCCCGAGTCGCGCTCCGGCGGCCCCGCGTCGCAGCGCCTGGCCGGGGCCCCCGCGGTTCGGGAACGGCCGAGCTCAGGTCGGGCCTGTCCCCCTACAGGGGGATTTCGAGCGAAAAATGAAATAGGGCAAAAATAGTTCAAAACCGTCCCCATATTATTTTTTGACTGTTTTTGGATTTCCTCCTGTAGAGGGACAAGCCCGACTTCAGGCCAAGCCCCCCCCCCCGCCACCATCCTCGGGGGGGGGGGGGGGCAGCGACGGCTTCGCAGGGGTCGAGGAGCAGCGCCAGCTTCCGCAGGGCTCCAAAGCGGTGGAAAACCCGCCGCCTTGATTTTTGCAGGCCGACGGATCTCTGCAGCTTGCCCCCTCGGGCGGGGCCAGGACTGGGATAAGTCGCTCTGGAGCGCTCTGCTGCAAGGGCCGCGCGCCCGATGCATCCTCCAGCATCGCCCTGTTTCAGAAGTTCCCGATTTGCCCCGATGCGAGCTGTCCCCCTACACACCGCGTGGTAGTGCAGCGGGGCTGAGGGGCCTCTGCACACTTTTGGGGGGGGCTCGGCAAGGGTCTCTCTCCGAGAGCTTGCCGGGCCGCCGGGGCCTCCATGGAGAGGCTCCCCCCCCGAGGTCGTGCGGTGACGGGCCGCGCGGTGAGGTCGCCGGGGGCTCCGAGGTCACCACGCTGTCCGTCACCACACGGCCTTTCGGCGGCGAGCGAGGGGGGAAGCGAAGAGGAGGAGGAGGAGGAGGAGGAGGAGGGAGGAGGAGGAGGAGGAGGAGGAGGAGGAGGAAGAGGAGGAGGAGGAGAGGAGGAGGAGGAGGAGGAGGAGGAGGAAGAGGAAGAGGAGGAGGAGGAGGATGACGAGGAGGAGGAGGAGGAGGAAGAAGAGGAGGAGGAGGAGGAGGAGGAGGGGGCAAGTGAGAAGGAGAAGGCCTTCTCAGAAGATTCGGAGGTCCCCCGGCCTTCTGAGAAATTGTCTAGGCCTCCCCCGAAGATAACAGACATCGCAGGGTGCGCCAGGGCTTCTGAGAAGTCCCGCCGCCTTCGTAGAAGGCCTTCTCCTTCTCATTTCCCCCCCTCGCTCGCCGCCGAGTCTTGGGACCCCTGGTCGCCTCTCCATGATGTTCCAGACCCCCGACGCCGTGATTCGTTTGCAGCGTCGACCCCTGCAGAGGTCTGCACCCCTTCCCCGGGGCCGGTTCTTCATCACCCCGAGTCGTTTTTGGAGGGCCCATGGGGCCCGGTGAGGGCCCCCGGATGTCGAAAATGGCGGAACGCCTCCCGTCGTGATTTTGCTCACAAGCGTCAACGCAAGGGGGTCTTGGTCTGTAGCTTGCCCCGGTGTGCGGGCTTCCTGTCGGGCGCGGCTCAGCGGCCACGGGCCCGGTTCGACGAGCAGCTCGCCTTCGCCCGGCAGCGCCGGGGCGCCGCGGCAGCGCGGCCGGCGGAGGAGCCCCTGGCGGCCCCGGGGGGGATCGGGGCCTCGAGGAGCGGCCCGCGGATCCCACGGACCCCCTCGCGTTGAGGGCGAAGAGAGCTATGCACATGAGCCTGGTAAGGCCCATCCTTGACCCAGGATCGGTGCATGTGCCCTCCTGGCCACCGTAGGAGGGCGTGTGCACCGATCCCGGGCTCAGAATGGGTCTGGCCAGAATCGGCGTATGTGCATGGTTCTCTTTCCTTCATAGCGTTGCGGCCAGAATCGCGACGGGAGCTCTTGCACTGCTCTGTTCGGCCTCCGCGGGCCCTCCCGGGGCCTCGGGACCGTCAACGAACAGAACGGCTCGCGGGACGACGCACGTGCCCCGGGGGAGGCCCCGGGGGAGGGGATCAAACCTCTGGGGGTCGGCGGGCGCGGCGAAAAAGTCCCGGGAAGTCGTCGGGAGGGCCTGGGAGGGAGGCTCGGGGATCGGGGGGCGAGGGTCGGGCCTCGAGAATTTCGAGGGCCGGGGAGCGGGGAGCGAGGGTGCCTCCCGCGCCCCTTCTCTCGCCCCGCCGAGAGGCGCCCGGGGGGCCCCTATGGGTCGTCGGCCCGAAGGGCCGCGGGAGAGCCGGGAGGCACGGCCCCCAAGAGGCAAGGGGCAGCGCCAGGGGTTCTAAATCTAGGGGTTCTAAACCTAGGAGATCCAGGGGTTCTAAATCTAGGGAGATCTAGTTCTAAATCTAGAGGCTAGGGGCAGCGCCAGCGATCATGTTCCAACCTGCTCGAGCCTAGATCTTAGGGGGAGAAAAGGTGGCATAAACATATAAACAAATCGGACGTCCGCGCGGATTTCTCGGATCGGCGCTGGACCCCCCTCCCTGGCGCGCGGAGCGCGCCAGGGGCGGCGCCGGAGGCGCCGCCCGGGGGCTCCAGCGCCGATCCGAGGAGTCCGCGCGGACCTCCGAGTTTTTATGTTTATGTCACTTTTTGTTCCCCTAAGATCACCAGAAAGAATTTCGAGCGCCAGAAACGTACCCCAAAACTCGAGGGTTTTCGCGCGGCGGGCCCTAGGAGACACTCGCCCGACACTGTTTCGACACTCTTTTCCGGCACTCTTCTGACACTTCTCCGGGTGCTCAAAATTATTCCTGGGATGTCGTCCTTAAGTACGATGGGAGCAACATAAGCCAGTGGTGGATCGCCGAGGGGCTCCCCCTAGCACACCCCGCCCCGAAGCAAAACATTCAGGGGCAAGCGTTGGGGGCCAACACCCGGAGTCGTGCTTTGACGGTCCCCGCTCCGGCCCTTTTATCCCGAGGTAGTTCTCTGTGACGCTCCCAGGGGGCCCTGCGAGGGCCCTATAGGTGTGGAATCTTGAGATGCACCTCCGTGGGCGGAGGTCTTCCGCACTTTTCCGCATCGTTGAGGCTCGAGGAACTCGAGATCTTGAATTTCTCGAGACATTGGACGTCTGGGTTCAGGAGGGAAAAAGACACAGACACAATGAATCGTCGATCCCCAAGAAAATATGGGAATTGGGCGGGAAGACAAAAACTTCTGGGAAAATATAGGGAACCATTTTTTATGTGTGTATTTATTTGTGCGTCCTTGGGACCCTTCATGGTTGGGGGGCCTCCCCCCCTCCCCCTCCGGCAACAAAGAGGACCGCTGGCCCTCGGCTGGGGCGCTCGAGGGCGCGTGGCAGCGGGCGTTCCGCCGCGAGAGGCCGAAGCACGCCATGTGGGCGGACATCAGGACCTGAGGGCGAGGAGAATGGATCGGTGTTTCTCAGAGCGTGAAGTATCGACTAGACGTAAGAGTGACCTTTCGCCGGAGTGACCCTTGGTGCGGGCGCAGATGGGTCCCCAAATGGCTGAAAACGAAGCGGTAGCAGCGGCTTGCGCGCCCAGGTTTGGTCTCCCCGCGGCCCCCCAAAAGCCGCGCACCAAAGGTCACTCTTACCCAGGGTCACTCTTGCGTGTAGCCGAAGTTATACCTACCCCGCGTTCGCTTCCAGGCAAAACCAAGTCATACCACGCGCCTCCTCGTCAAGCGGCCTGACCAGCGCAGGCCGTAGTGTGGCGCCGCTTGGTACCTCGTGGGAGCGAGGGCAGTCAATAGCGAGGCAGGTCTGTTTGCGCCCCAGTTTCTGCTGGGGTTGATGGCGGGGGCGATGGGCGGGGAAAAGGCGAGCGCCAGATTTGTAGAAGGCACTGCCCTCAACCCGTGAAGCTGTTGTGATTGGTTACCCGAGTGGGCGCGGCGCGAAGGCGAGATGATCCACATTTTGATAACGGCCCACCTTCGATGCGCGAAGCTCTTGCATTCTTTAAGACGAATGTGCGCGGCGCTACGGCGAGAGCCGCACTATGAAAACGGCCCTCCCTCAACCCGTGAAACTTTGAACTTTTACACGAATGTTCGCGGCGCTACGGCGAGAGTCACACTTTGAAAACGGCCCGCCATCCGTCTGCGAAACTCTTGCAACATTTAATCGAGTGCGCGCGGCGCTAGGGCGAGAGCCACATCTTGGAAGTGGCCCGCCCTCCATCTGCGAAGCTGTGTTGCCAATGTCTGAGCTTCAGGGTCATAAGTGGCGAGGAATTCTCAGGCGAAACGCCCGGCCCGCCCTTTCGACCGGCCCCGTGTCCGGCAGGTAGGAGGTATTGATAAGGAACAGGAATGAGGGAATAGGAGGCGGAGGAGGAGGAGGAGGAGGAGAAGGAGGAGGAGGATCAGGAGGAGGATCAGGAGGAGGAGGAGGAGGAGGAGGATGGGAGGAGGAGGGAGGAGGAGGAGGAGGAGGAGGAGGAGGAGGAGGAGGAGGAGGAGGAGGAGGAGGAGGAGGAGGAGGAGGAGGAGGAGGAGGAGGAGGAGGAGGAGGAGAGAGGTGAGAGGAGCGAGGAGTGAGAAGAGAGGAGAGTGGAGAGAGGAGTGATAGAGGAGGGCAGAGCCTGGGCAGAGCTTGGGCAGCAGGAGCCGGTCCACGCAGGGGCGGGAGGTCGACGCGGCGGACTTGCGGGCCTTCTTCGCGTAGGGGCACTCTGAGGTCAGGGGCAACGTTAGGGGGGGAATACAGTCAATACTCGCCATCCACGGGCTCCAGGACTGTCTGAAGACGACTCAGGATGAAGATCTCGTCCTGGGGGAAGGCCCCAGGGTCCAGGACCCTTTTCCCTCAGGACCCGTTTCCATCATGCTAACAATACGTTGGAACAAGAGCAGCTTTGGGTTCGGAAGATTTCGCTGTTCCTCAGGTCATCCTGTGGTTGTTCCTTTAGCCCTCCTCGTGCACCCAGGCGCCGCTGGCGCTAAAAATGGGGCTTCGTTCCGTATTGGGCGTTCCTTATTTCAGCAGCCTTCTGTAGGCTCAGGAGGGGGCGCTGCTTTGACCCCCGATCGCCCATGGATCGCCGATAGGGACAAGGGGCCCGGTAACCCACCATGCCCAGCTGCGTGCTGATCCGCTTTCGGGGGCCCATCGCCGATCTGCAAGCGGTGTGTCGCCGAGGCAAGCGCGAGCTGGCCAGGCCCGAGCCGGTCCGGTCGCCCCCGAGCGCTCCCGCCTCGGTCTTGAGGCGGGGGGTATGTGCCTTGTCCCTCTGCCCGTGCGGGGATGCTCGCGTGCCGCTATCTGCCTGGGCACGCCAGAGTTGTCGTGCTGCCCCTGCTTCTGGCCTCTCCCGCCCCTCTTCAACTGCTCGCGTCTCGCTGCTGCTCGCTGGCTTCGTCTCAGTGCAGGCGCGCGTCGACACGAACGCGACCGCCTCCGTCTCACCGTGTGCTCTGCTGGCATCCTCGCGAAAGGCATGCTCGGACCGTGGAACATTGGTGCTGGCAGGTGTTGCTCGGCGTCGCACCGACATGAACTATGTGTGCGCCCCCAGGGGCCACGCGCGCTCGGCGGGCGCTTTCTGGCCGTACCGCTGGGGTAACGGTATACATAAAGATGCTTATACTACATGTTCTGTTCGGTCGCACGCCTTCGAGGTGTACGCATCGTACTCGTATGTCCTCCTGCATGTTGCCTGGCTCACGGCTCATACCATGAATTCGCCTATGCCAGGTCGGTTTGTGCGGTGTTTCCGGTTTGCCTAGCGACGTTTTGAGTCGTGACATGGCAGGGTCACCAGTGATGTTTTGTGAGAAGAAGTTGCAGGCGAACATCTGATTAAGAAGCCTCCTCTCGAGAAGTTGGGCTGTTGTTCCTGAACCAACGTGCCACAAAGTTGGCCCAGCTTCTTGAGCACAGTCGCCCCATTTAGCGTTAATGGTAGACATTGGCCCAGGCTTGGTTTAAGAAACCTCTGGGAAGCTGGACCTGACTCATGGCACCCCGCCCCTATCAGCCGAAGAGGCAGGTGACCGATTTAAATCGGTGACGGAATACGTAGTGTGATCGGAGTTCTGACCGGAATTGAAGTCCGTCTTGTTTGCGAACCAAACATTTCGGTCAGGCCAGAAGGCTTCGGGCGCCTGTTTCGGATACGCTCGGGCGGATCTTCGGGCACTGATTCGGTCACGACGCCTCTCCCTGATGGAGACGAGGCTTCGTGGGATTTCTTAAACGGTGGCTTTCTTGATCATCTGTTCGGCCGGCGTGTGTCCTTCACAGGCAGGCCACCTTCATCGGTCAACGCCCCCCCCCTCCCCCCAATGTTCAAGCTTGGCGGTGGGCCTGATGCGCTGCACTTCGGCCTCAGTCCCCCCCGCACGTGCCAACTCTACGTTCGGGGGAGAGGCGGAGCGCCCACTGATCCGCGAAGCTCGAGGGGGGCAGGCCCGGGCCCAAGGGCGACCTCGAGATCGAGGATCGAGGATCGCGAATCGAGGATCGAGGATCGAGCATCTGTGGAGAATCCATCGATGGGGGTCGAGAGGTCCACGGGCCCACAGGCCGCGTGAGAGCCGCGGCGCCGCGCGCGCGCGCGCCCCGCGCGGCTTGTCGTGCGGCGCCCCCGCGGCGCGGCGCCCCGAGCAGGGAGGGGGGGCGGCGCGAGCAGGCCGGGACGCGGCGGGTGGCTCGCAGGGGGGGGGGGGGGGGGGGCGGGCCAGGAGCGGGGGCGGGCGAGGGGGGAGGCGAGGAGGAGAGAGGCGAGGGAGACAACGAGTGCCAGGAGCGTAAGCTCCTGCCGCTCCGCGCGGATGTCTTGGAGCCGCGCCCGGGCCCCCCGGGCGGCGCCTCCGGCACCGCCGCTGGCGCGCTCCGCGCGCCACGGAAGGGGGGTCCAGCGCAGACTCAAGGAATCCGCGCGGAGCGCCAAAAGGTTGTGTTGATAGCTTGTTCTTCTTCTGGGAAGCCTTATCAGCAGGTTCGGAAGCCCCCTGGCCTTCTGAGAAGTCTTCTGAGAAGTGTTCGGAACCTTCCCAGGAGATGTAAACAAACATCTCATAAGGCGCGAGGGCTCCCTGAGAAGTGCACCCAGATAGCCCACTGGAGAACCGCGAGGTCGCGTCTGGGTCTGCGGGCAACTCCACTGCGCTGGACCTCATGTGAGCTCCCGATGGTGGCCACAGTTGCGCAGCTGCCCCCCCCCAGAGAACTGCGAGGTCTCGCATGCTCATAACTCCATTCAGCTGGGTATAGTTCCCGAAAGTGGCGACAGTTGCGCAGCTGGCAGCCCCGGTTGGGAGCCGCGAGGTCTCGGCTGGGTCCGCGTGGGACACCACTCCGCTGGACCTCTCATGGAGACCGAAAGTGGCGACAGTTGCGTAGCTGGCAGCCTCCTACAGAGCCGCGATGTCTGGTCTGGGTGACAGGAAGGACGCAAATAGGAGGTAGGATGCAGGAGGAGGGACGAGGCGGGGGGAGGAGGAGATGCGCAGACGCGCGAGCAGTGCTAGCTATATTCATCACCGCCCACCAAACCACCCCCACCCAACGCGAAGGCCTCAACTTGCCCTCCGTTCCCAGTGGGGGGGTGGGCGTCGGGGAACATGGAAGCAAAAACGCAGATGGAGCCCGTACCTCCCCCCCCCCCAAAAAACCCGAGATTTGGGACTCTGGTCCGGGGTGGGGTGGTCTCGTGGGGTGTCAGACGGAGGCCTTCTCAGAGGGCGGCGGGGCTTCTCGGAAGCACTCCAGCCGTCCGGGAGAAGTCTGCTGCGTCTTCGGGGAAGGCTTATGTAGACGACGTGTTCGAGCGAGCCTTCTGAGAGGGCGCCGCCCCCTCTCGCCCTCTCCCCCCCGGGGCGGAGGGCCAGGGGAGGGGATGTCCTGGCCAGGGCCACAGCATCTCCCCCGATTTTGTGTGGCCTCCATCGGAAAGTGGAACAAGCACATTACCAGTGGCGGGTTCTGTTTCAATCCCACGACTTTTTGAGGGTCGGGACTGAGGGTCGGGACGACGTCGGGGTGGTGTGGTGTATACCTCTCCCCCGTTTGCCAAGGGAAGCAACGAAACACGTGCACACCAGGACCCCGTATACGCCAGGAGCTTCGCTCCGGTGCGAATGTCAACGCAGGGTGGGCAAAAGGCGCCGGTGCATAGGGCTCGTCCCCCTGCTCCGCTTGCGTCGCTGCGCGTCCCCTGGCGCACCGCCCCCCCCCGTCGTCCGCGCACACGCCTCGGGCCGCGGTTGGCACCCTCCCGCTCCTGGACGCCCCCCTGTCTCCCGGGCGGCCGCACGGCTCTGGAACTCGGAGGTCGCCCTCCGAGGACGCCTCGGGCGGAGGAGGAGGAGGAGGAGGAGGAGGAGGAGGAGGAGGAGGAGGAGGAGGAGGAGGAGGAGGAGGAGGAGGGGCCTCCGAGGCGCCCCCAGGAGCGAGGCGGCGGCGCGGGGGCCGCGCGGGGAGGCCTCTCCCAAGCGGAGACGCCGAGGTCGCCGCGCACGCTCGGCTGCCTCGCTGGGTTCTGGACCCCCCCGCCTTGCTGCCTGGGCCTCCTCCGCAGTGTCTCCGTCCTCGCGTCGGGCGTCCAGAGGGTCCGATCGCTGCGCCGCCCGCTCCTCCAGGGGCAGGGGCAGGGTGGGGGGTGCAGGGGGCCACGTGCGAACCCTACCCCTGCCTCTCACGATTTCTGAGGGGGAGGGTGGGGTTCAATTCGCTCGGGAGCTCCCGAGCAAAGTGAACCCCACCCTCCCCCTCAGAGATCGTGGGGGGCAGGGGTAGGGTTCGCACGTGGCCCCCTAGGATGGGCAGGGGCGCATCGGCCCCCAATCGTCCACCC